GATCCACCCATCGCCCCCCCCCTCAGATACGCCACCGTCCTGTTCTGTTATACTGGCCATTTTTATATGGATTACCAGCGATGGCCACGGTCAACTCGTGTTCGTCATAGAGTTTACCATCTCGACCACAGTCGACGTACAGCTCTGCTGATTGTCGTAACAGTGTGACAACGAATCGCCTTCGACATTTTATTGCATATCAATTTCGTTCCGTTCCTGTGTACAACAATTCTGTATTAGGTCAAATATTATTTTATTTCATTTGAAGTGGAAGTCGGAAAACGTTTAAAAACAAACATAATGCTCTTTTCCCTCAGCATCGTCGGTTTACCATCTACTATTCTCACCACTTGACATAAATCCACCTCTAACAATAAGATTAAGTTATTTACAACTAAAAACTACTATATACACATAGGTACACCTCTAATCACTATTGACTGCACTTTTAAAAAATAGCCAATAAACTAGGTAAAAATGTAYGTAATTCATTATAGTACATTATCGCTTATCTCTACAACTTTTACATTATTAGAATTATTACAGTGCAATATCATATTAATAGTTGAATTATAAGTTAGTATTTTTTTTTTTAGATTGCTTTTTATTCGAGCACAATGTGTTGATATAATATAACCGATTTTTCTGCATACAATCAAGAATAAGTGGGCTTAAATAAAAAAAAACGCATACATTTGGCCCATTCAACTATATAGTGGGTAAATTAATAAACACTAATCGATGTTTATTTGCATCTCTTTGCAAACTTAAGTTAATTTTTTTTTAAATAATGATGAAATAGTGAAAACAATTTGAAAATACATTATCTWTAATTTATATTCGCGAATTTTTTTTTTTACAAATATTTTACAATATTCGATGAATTGATTTACACATCACTATTGAGACTTTGATCAATATTAAATATGTTGTGGGTGTGTACATTTGTAGGTACTCAGTGTTCAAACTTCACACGCTAAAGTATTTGAATTCCCCACACATGCTCATTTTTTGTACCTACGCGGCTACGCTGCAAAAATTTTAGTGTGATGTTTGTTTTCACTCTGCTACCGGACGTTCTTTTGCACTACTTACCACGACTCAACACGGCATAATAATAATACTAATATGTATATACCACAACGTTATCCGATCTTATACCTGTTCCTCTGCTGATTCATACTTGAGCCGTCAATTAAAAAAAAAAAAAAATCATATATGTAGGAACGCGCCAAAATAAAATATAATAATAATAATATAATCTAATCCTTCATGTGTATGCACGCATGGCAGGCTGGTAGGCACCACGGTACGTTTCCTCGCATGCGCGCTCACAGAATACCGCACATACGCCACTCACTGTCTTCATCGTCAGTATGAATAATTATTGCTATTACATAAGAATTTATTTAAGTATACCTCGTCCTATCCGCGATACACACTAACTTTCACCTCCTGATTCATCTGTGTTAAAAAAAAAAACACGTACCACATTCAGATATTTAAATATTATTTTKCTAGGTTTATACACCAACATTGGTGTGAAACATGAGATAATAATATTATTTATTACATGTTATTTGTAATGCTATTGTGCTAATTCGTAAAAATACACTGCYGAAGTTTATAAAACTATGGTCTTATAATGAGGTATTATTATTAATATTGTCATATTGAAATGTATTTTGTTTTACCCAATACCAGTGCAGATAACTATACGTACTTTATATTATTTGTTTGATTTGTTATTTTTTACGRGTTATTGATCGTAAGGTAATTTATCAACAATTTAGTAAACAAAAACAATATCAGCTTTTATCAACTCAATTTTTCTATGAATCATTCTGATTTTTACATAMAGTTATAATTAATAATATCATTCATATTTTGCCTATGGATAAATTATTTTTATTAATCAGCTTATRAATGAGAAATTAGGAGATTTTCAATAAAACAGATTTACTAAATATTTAATGCGTTCGTATTAATAAACATACCTTCAAATAACATTATGCACAGCATCACAATGCATTAATCGGGGGGATAAAGCATTGTCTGACTTCGTTGCGGTACATCTTAGGATCATAATAGTCTGCCTTAGACCTATAGCTTAAATAATGACAAWACTAAACAAACTTGTGTAGACGCGTAGATAGGTATAGTAAAACAATATTAAAAGAATAATTAAAATATGATTCGATAGGGTTCAAACAATTAATAAGATAGCGGTGATACTATATCAATAATATTTTAATTATAAAAATAATAATAAATAATAAACTGTACAAACTGTACAAACTATACGTGATTTAATTAATCGTAGGTAATATACGTTAGGAATATAATTTACATAAAAAATGTAACTATAATGCGTATACCTACAATTAAATAAGTAGAATAATTATTATGCAAGAAATTAAGTGCGCATTTATTATTTATAAGCTGTTTCGTAAACCTACATTCGAAATCAAAAAATATACGATAAAACGTGTACAAAATAGCCACTTGTATCATATAAAGAGTCGTTAAGCACACGCGTTTAAGTAAATCTAAATGACATAAGAAAGGTAAAAAAAAAAAATCAATAAAACAGATCTTATGAGGAGTAGTCGTGTGTCTGGCTGGCGGCGAGATCGCGTGTCCACCAACACTGTACATAAATATAACATATTATTTTTGTGTTCATCATCATCGGCCGACAGCGAATCATCGTTCAGTCTTAGAGTGGTGTTTTGATTCGTGTTCGGAACAACAAAATCGAACGCGCGAAACAAGTAGGTATCGGCAGATCAGTAAAGCGTGTCCGTCGTTTTCTCCGAACTGACGGGCGCGCTGTTGTCACTGGACGACCAGGAGAACGACGACGGAGGCGGGCCGCGGGAGTGCTTGTCCATGTCCTTAGACTTTTCGTGAGACAGGTGACCGACGCCCAGGTTGCCGCCGCCGACGCCGCGGACGAGCGAGTCCAATACGCGGCGGCGGCACGTGAACGCAATGAATACGAACAGGCCCTGGAACGTGTTGAGAATAACGAATAGCATCCACATGTACTTGGCGTCCGTGTAACTGGCTACTATGCCGGTGGACCACGTCAGGCCCATGAGCACGCCGAGACGGCAGTACATGCGGAAATCGCGGCGCACGTGACGCGTGTTGATGTGCCGGACGGTGGCCCGGCTCGAGTGTATCATGTACGCGGTCCAACCGAATAGCACGACATTAACGGCCATGATGGTGGTCAGTGGGCCGGCAAAAAATAACAACAGCGCCGTTTTGCTGCCGAACCAGCACTGGTCGGCGCCAAACCGAGGACGGACGTCGTTGGGCACGGCGGGCACGGCGTCTGCGGCCACCGCAACGAACGTCATCATGGCCGGCACCAGCCAGCAGACAGCCGAGTAGACGAGAAACTTTTTCGTYTGTCGGCCACTGGTGACGCGTAACTCGACGGTGGCCAGGCGCAGCGTGCGCCAGCAGTCAAAGCTCATCACCAACATCCACGCGAACGACGTGAGGAACGCATAATAGGTGAAAGCGGCGCCGGCGTARCAGGCAGGACCAGTCAGCCAATTTCCGGCTACGAACGCGGCGTACGAGCACAACAGTGACACACAAAACGACGCCAGGTTCTTGCTGGACAGATTCTTTATCTCRGGTAGCACGGCAAACACAGCCAGGTGCACGATCAGTAACACCGCAGACACGCCCAGTCCCACATAAGTGAGAACCGCATACCTCAGCGTATCGGCGGTGGCCGGCTGACCGGCGTCCACGCACACAGCCATCGTGCCGTTTTCTAGCGTCACGTACTCGGCGTCGGCATTGGGCGGCCGCCAACCTTTGGGTGGTGACGGGTACATGGCCACGACGGAACAGTTGAGCGGCACGCCATCGCCGGCCACTGACGTCCGTAGCGACCGGCATGTCTTGCTGAACGGGTCGTAAAATGTGTCCTGGCCGCGGCACTCGCGATGGCCGGGTTGCGCAACGAATAACGCGGTGAAGCTGCGAACCGCAAACTGGTTGGGAAACCTCACGTGAATACTAGTAAGCTGGCACGTAACGTTCTGTACGAGCACGTGGTTACATATGGCGCAGTGTATGTTCTTGTAGGGCTGGTCGTCGTAGTACATCACTGTGGTGTACGCCTCGCAGTTGGACCTGATCTCGTCGTTCGGCCATCGGGGATGACATGTGATCACGGCATTTGGTAGACACTTCCGGATACGGGTCGCGGCAGGTGGCACCACTATTTGGTCACAATCGTACGTATCACCGCTGTACTTTACCACCCATCGACCAGCGGTCGCGTCGTACCGGAGCGTGTCGAGCACTGCTTGTTCGGCACCCGCGGCCACGCCTAGAAGTGTATTACAAACGATCCGCGTGTCCCAAAGGATTTGGTCAGCCGCATCGCCGTTGCACACGGCACAGAACCGGTTCCGGTACGCGTGTCCCGTCGTTCGACTAGTCACGGGATTTCCGAGCATGCCGTCTGTATCCATGGCGGCCGCATGGCACGCGTCCCGTACCCGTGTGTTCGTCCACGTGGCCGGACACCTGTTCACGACGTACGCTCCGCCGCTTACATCAGTAGGCATGCAACCGTATCGATCAGCGGCCCTCTGCTGTTCCACTGGGTCAAAGTGCGTCGAGTCGGTGCAACAATCACCGTACTCGCTGCAAAGGTCGTMACACAGGCAGTTTCGCCGTAGTCCGCCCAGGCCGTCGTCATTATCCTGAACTTCCGAGGCTGCCACTTTCTGGTCAACTCCCACACAACTGGACCGCGGTGGACAAAACCTGAAAGCAATACCATCATGATGTAATTCAAAAATATTCAATTATAATAACTAATGTGCATCTAAATCGGAATTTAATRCCAGCGAAACTAATCGTGACGAACGCGATAATAAGTAGAATCGTCACTACTTGGCCTATACGATGTACAAAATTAAAAAATTAAAATGATAAAACGATTGTTTGAGGGGATTTTATTTTTAATGTTGGCACGTATCGAGTGAGCAAAATGTCAGTTGTATTTTTTCAGATAAGTAACCTACTAACCTATCAGTAAGGTTCTATCAAAATTGCAGAGTTTGTTATGTGATAAAGTAGTATTGCGCGTGTGAAAATCGATATTTTTGTATTCAGTGTCTGCATCGACATACAAGTTTCACTGTGGTTTAAAGTATTTTGGGTTACTTTGAACACTTAAATAGATGCTTAAAATATTAATATGCAAAACAGCAACTTTATTATATTAAATATAAATGAGATGATTGTTGAATGCCACACAAATGTATTTATTTATTTTTAAAACACAATAGTATACAGATACTAAGCATTAATGCAATACGTCATTAAATAAACTATTACGAGTTATGTATATACAGTAACCAAAATACTATGTATAGTGTATATACATAGTTAAATTATACGCTAAGAACAATAATAATTAAATGATGCACGTAGGTACGTTTGAACCATGTTATAGGCTGTCTCCCAAATGTTGACCTCGTATAGTTTTTGAAACACAAAACGTGATTTTTATCCACGACTCGCACGTGGGATAACAATCAGCAGCGAAAACAATGGATCTCTGCTGTGTTTCATCCACTTAGAATTTGAATCCGATATTTAATCGATTATCTTATTATAATATTATGTAAGCGTGTCACTTTATAATAGTATAACATCGGTGTGTAATACAGTTATTGCACCTATTACAATGTGAGAAAACCTACACACAACATCAAATAAGAAGGTGATGCACTATATAGTGTTTACCTGTATGTTGTATGTACTAAAGACTAAACACTATAAATTAAAATTGCAAGAATCTTTTCAATAAGCGTGGGCCGTATAGTAGAAATTTAGTTAAATGTTGAACCTCATTCATATTTAACTGATGAGGTGAGACATGAGTAAATATATGAATGATATATTTTTTTTTTACTGAAGTATTGTACATTTTATACAAGATTGTTTTTGTTATTTATTTATAATCTAAACAAAACAAATTCGTTTTTCTATGTCCTATTTTTAATACCTAACAATATTAGGTAGGTATTGCATGCAATAGACTTAAGGCGCAAATTAAACTTGTAAATTGTATACGTGTACATAAACCTTATATTATAAGTACAATGTAATTTCAAATATGCAAGGATTTTTATTTTATCAAACACATAAATATACATTCAACAATTAATATAAGTTACAAAATATAAACATTACAAATTAAAATGGACATCAGATAAGTGAAATTATAAAACTTTAATCAATATTATTAACATACATTAAATGAATAACAAAAACGGAGACAGTTAAGTTAAGCTTACTAAACTTAGTACCTAGGTACTAAATATAAGTCTAACACACTCAGTGATTTAAAAAATGTAGAATAGATAACTATTGATTCCTATTTTATTAGTATTTAGTAATATATATGACGTTTAAAATATATTACATTATTATATGTATGAATATTGTATACCTATTATAATTAAAGTTCTAACAAATGATGGTAACGTAATGAAATTAATACACTTAATATAGTTAATTCTAAGTGTGCCAAGTTATATGAGACATCTAAAAACAATTTGTTATTATTAAACGCAGATAATAATACATCGTTTGATTTCAATCTTTTTATTTGTTATGTGACATAACTCAAATATCTTATGCTACGGTTTACAGTACTAATTGAGAGTATATAGAGAGATTTCCATTTTTTGGTAATTTTCAAAATATGTACATAGGTAAGTACTAAAATTAATATTGATTTACGTCACTTATCATAAAAGAATATTGCCCGTTATCATTTAAATTGGTTTTTTTAAACGAAAGTTCTTAATAAAATATAATATGCAATGTAATATTCATTAGGAGTTGCGTTTTCAAATAAATCGAAACCGCGTTGGATTTGAACAACTTTTTTGATATTATGTGCACAAAATATGTTCCATTATAATGGTACCTAATTCTATATACGAAAATAGTTAAGAAAAAAAATTATGAGGAAAAAATAATCTAAGTAATTAAGTCATTACTCATAGGTTATAATTTCTGAGATTACAAAAAATTGTTATTTTTATTACGAATTAGTAAATATAATTGAATAATTATGGACGTAATACAATAATTATAAACTGGCCAAAGGTAGGCAGCGTTAGGTATCTTACCATACATAAGATATAACGTTTCAGTAAAACCTACCATAAGTATAACACGTATAAATATTAACCATTCTTCCATTATCCATAAAGTTATATAATAATGTTACATTAAAAATTAAGTAATAGGTAATAAAATAAAACATTTTTTTTWAAATAAGATTTATGTGTTCATTACATTAATGACAACAATAATATTATTTCTTACGTGAAGTTATAATAAATTTTATTTGACTAGCAAATAATTAATATTAAGGCATTGTTCTAGATTTAAAGTTTCAACGATAAAATTAATACTTTTATACTAATTTTACGAAATTACTCTTATCTTTGATGTCTGCTTGCATACTTTTTTATTTTAGATACAACTTAATTCTAAAGGATTCGACTACAAATAACAAACAATTATAAATAAATATTTGTATCGAAACTCGTAAACACTTTTGTATTAATTTATTATTGTGTTCTAACTATACATATTATGTAAATATAATGTTCAATAATTCGGAACTTAACACTGTAAATCATGATTAATAAAAAAAAAATTAATATCGCTGTTCGTTAATCATATCTAACATATTATGTGTTAAATAGATACTGTTTAAAATTTAAATCCACTATCCGTACAAAAATAGTTACTTACTTATATGGGTTGTTGAGATCTTCATAAGGAATGTCAATAGCAGCGGTCCACGACTCGAACAAAATGAATATTGCGATAATAAAATGTATTCCAATCTATACAAACACAAAATAAAAACCAGTTTTATTATACGTAGATACACTGCTGTTTGGTCTGCTAAGAAAATTATTTTCAAATCTGTATTTCATTCATTGATCTATTATTTAAAAACATACAATATAAAATAATAATATAATAATGGAGTCCCTAATAAAACGTTCCCAAAAGCGTGATGAAATCACATGAAACTAAGACTTCAGCAAAATAATAAACGTAAGATTCAACGAAGGATAAAATGTCTGCACGCTCCTTAATTACTTCATAATAACTATACGGAATTCTTATGTGTCATTTAAACGTTAGCGATAAGATATTATTTTTGTTGCATCATACGTATAGTGTATGCATGCGGAGAAAGGAGACAAACGTATTTAACGAAAAAAATTAAATAATAATGAAAGGTGATTCGCATATGTATTATACATTAGGAGTTAGGACCGGCATAACACTACGATAGAAATGTCAGTTTATTAGTCGGAGTAAAATTATTGTCACACGTTCGTTTGAATTATATTGTAGAATGTATAATATTATGTATTGTATGTAATTTTAGATACTGAAAAAAAATATTAAGATATAATATTGAAATATTATATTGGGATKAGTATATAATTTTAGTTAAAATATGTGTAAGTTATATAGACTTCCATAAGCACTAGTAAATCAGATGGTGTCGACAAGCCGGTTAAAATGATTTTAATGGATTTTTTTATTATTATTATTGCAAAACGAGAAAATTATTTTTATCATTACAAATATTGTCAAAATAATATACTATATGTACGTTATTTGAGCATTTCCTGAGAGTTGTATAACATCATAAGTAGATGGTATAATAAACTGCCGCGGTCCCGAAAAACCTTCAAGTCGATTTACTTTTTATAGAAATTGAAATAATGTGCGTATGTATGTATTTATGCGTGTAGGTACCTAGAACAAATAATTTATCACACCGTAACGTTGTTAAAAACTAAGTACCTCAGATTTCACCGAGACCAAACGCACTTTATAATAAGTGTCCTTATGACGAATTATGTAGTTTATATAGACAAATATTATACTAAGTTGTAGCAACCAAATATTGGTGTATCATAAAATTATAATGAATATAAATATACCTATAGGTAATATTTCAATTTGTAGTCGCAAATATGAAACGATTCGACTACATATTTATATATACATATACATATATATTATATAAATTTGTCACAAATAAGCTGTGCACTACATAAAATAAATTATTTTAAATTGTGCACGAAAAATACGATTACTTATGTCTTCTCTTAAAACTTCCTTATTTTATTATTATCATTATTAATATTGTTATCAAACCATGTTAAAGAGATAATATGTGATTACGTCATTGCTAACGTTTAAAGTTAATGTCGTCAAATGATCATCATCCAAAACGTTCTTCAGTCGTTTGCAAGTACCTGCCTACCATAATAATTATGGGAATAAAGTTAAACAGTCGCAATCTAAGGTTTTATGAATTTGTAAGGTACTATTCAGTTACCTCTAGAGAATATTTTAATGGTGGCTTAATATTTTTCTCACGTGCTATATAGCTTTCTAGACGATATTTTTGCGTGAGTCAACATATCCCGCAAAAAAAATGTAACATAATGTATATCATAATATATATTGCGGGTGAATGACATGATATCGACATCAACGACAGCCACRTAGATAGATTTTTAAGAATAATAAATAATTTATTTTACAATTTATTTGTACAAATACTTGTGAATAATATACAGATATTATTATTATAATATGACAATATTATTCCTCAATTGATAAATCATTTAAAGATCAAACTAAAATTCGTATTTCACAAACATATAAGCATGTTATACTTTATAATGTTTATATAGGTAGCAATATTACGAGTAGGTACCTACATAATTTATAGTAAATACGCCTAGTATCAATTCCAGTTGATACGGAGAACCAACAACTACCTACTACTTACTTAATGGGTCTAAAAACTTAATATTAGGTAAGTAGTATGTTTATTATTATGAATAACAATTAACGGTATCAGTCTATCACCAAGTTACTAATAGTATTTCAACAAGGATAATATTGCTTGTTTTTATTTTTAAATTACCTACAGTATTATTGCACAAACCACTAGACCAGAACTATTCATTTGCTTTTTCTAATTCACATATCTCATCATAAAAACTACAATTTATAAATAATATTCATACAAGTTATTTTAAATTACATAGGTACCTATGTATAAATATCTCGTTTTGGCTATCATTTCTTTGATACCGCCTTAAGCAGTTAAGTCTCACTTTTTTGAAAACTAGTAGTGCTGAATGCTGATGACTAGGTAGTTATATTAAAACATTATTTTATCAAACTATTTGTACATAATATCTAATATAAATTATTATTAATCAACGTTTTAATTAAAATTCTTTGCATGATCGTGTGAAGTTCTTAAAATATTTTTTAAAAGTTGTTATGGATGAGTATATTCAATAATAATCAAAATGTGGAGGTAAAAATAATATTGTATTATAGGTGATCGTAAACCTATTTTTTATTTTTTTKAAATACTTATCATAATTATCTAATTTATTTAAAAAAACAATTTAACAATCACGAAATTTAAAATTAAAAGTAATTGTGCTAAGTAATATGTACCTATATATTTTTTAATTGCATTATGACATAGATATCTATAATCTATACAATTCATTAAATATATCTACCTACTTGTAAGAAAAAACGTGTATAACACACCAAGCATAATGTTTAATATTAATTCAAAGTTCACACGATACACACATGTTATCCCTCTATATTCACAGCCGTATTCAAATATAAAATGTATTTCCAAGGTCTTGCAATGCAATATTTGTTATGTTTCGCCAAGTTTTTCTTTTGTACGTAATTCTTATTTTATTTAATCCTAGTGAAAGCGTCGTGTTTTGTGTATGGTCTAATAATCTTGGACTTGGACCTGCAGGTTGCACTCTTCTGTTGGAACCATAAGTAACGGTCAGGTAAGTAACTAACCATACACGTTTAACACCTCTTTAAAATAAGTTTAACTGACAGTTTTTTTTCACGTGTATGTTTTAAGAGCATATACTATGTGGGTAAACAAAACACTTGTATATTTTAAAGTTTAGATAGAACTACGCATGTGTCTTAATTAGATTAATATAAACTATTAAACCGGGATCAAAAATATTCGAAGCTAATAAAAAAAAAAAATGATGATATAGTGTGAAGCGCTGAAATCCAGGCGCGCTTTCATTGTATCGATATTAAGTTTAAGATGGTTTTATGCTATTTAATGCTATTGATAAAAATCATCAGAAGCAGCTTATGAACTTAAAAACGCCTTTACGTCAGAATCCATACGAAGTGATCAAAAACTGCAACCCAATAGTGCAAAATGAACCTCAAACATTTTAAGCTTAGCAATAAACTAAAAGAAGTACCTAACTGCACAGTTAAAATTGCACAAACAAAACAATTTCCGAATTCCTAGTATAAAGACGCCACAGTAAATATGTTTTGTAGTTAGCGATGTATTTTAACTTGAAAAATATGTTGTACTGACGCCTTTATATTGGTTTAAAAATTAGATACATCTTTCAATAATCAAAAACATAAACATCTATATTATTGAAGGTAATGAATACTCAAATAATTATTAAAGAAAGGAAGTATTTTTGACTAGGTATAAACATATAGAGGTAAGTAATAGGTATATTAAAAATGTTTAATTTACTTGATGTAATATAATAGATTCTTCATATAGATTAAAAAATTTAATTTTGTAAATGTGTTGAAAACCTCAAATTCACACGATTAACGGAAAAGTTTGCTCATTATTAAATTACAATTCCACGGTAAAAACGTGAAAAATAACATAATAATATGTTGTCGATTCTACATTTGACTTCTTAGTTATCGTCATTTTTAATGTGTTTTAATATTTCTATAACATTAGCCGAATCACTTGCATTAATTTCATTTTTCTAGACATTTCTTAGAAACATGTAATTCACTTAACGCGCGTTTTCCAATTGTAAGTTATCCTCTGTTTGTTTAAAAAGGTTTGATATTAATTTTTATCGTGGAAAAATTCCCGAAGGTAAAAGTAATTAGGATGTCAGCGCACTATTTGTTTCCTTTATATGGCCCGCGCCAAACATATTATACAAAATTTGCGTTCAGCAGAACATTATTAACCTTGTGTTGTTAGCTTTAGTGTATGGTGAATTAATCTACTAGAAAATTATCTGTGTTTTTACGTCGGCGTTTTTACAATTTTTCAATTCATTTTTAAGCGAAAAAATTTATTTTTATAACATTTTTAAATTGTAATATAATTATATTACTTAGGTACTCATAGTATTATAAAACTGAAATATCGTTATAAGAGCAAGAGACAACCTATAAAAACAGATAAATAGATAATGTTCTAAATTTTAAGTTTGATGATAGGTCTTATTCATAATAAAGCTAACAACAAAATGTTGGTTCTATTAAATTAAATTTTCTTGTGTTACACATGGATCAGATAAAGAATACTAGTAGTGCGTTGACATCCTAACAATAATATTTAAACTAGCTGGGTACCATATAGGTATGTACTTTGTAAACTCAAAATAATAGTTATTATTAGCTGGTACAATGCAGAGAGTTATTCATGCAAAACTGTGACTGTCAAAACAATCGATACAATAGAAGAACTTATTTATAGTTTATGGCTATTGACTATAATAACTAATATCAGTATTAATTAGCAAGTACCTATTATTATCCGTCGGTGCTCAACGCCTATCTATCATAAATTTGTTTGACTGAAATCACGAGCTATTCGAATCATTCACATCTGTCTGAGTAATCACTCATGTTTTTTATTCATAACAATGACCATTGTCAATAATATCTATATACTTATTCTACGTATTCTATGAAATATTTTAATAATGTAATGTGATATTCTTTAACGTTT